GCATCATCTAACGTTGCTCTACTGCCTTGTGGATTAGACCTCTAGGTCAAAAGCTCGGGGAGTGGCTCCCTTAGAAAACCACTTGTTTTGTTCCGGACGCCCGGATAGTATTCCAGCCCTCACATAAGTCGAATGGCGAAATGTGTCGCATATGTATTCGACGCCTCCTTGTACCAGTGTTTATGTGTTTAAATAAATGAAATCAGGATCTGATTAGTTAGTATTCACCTACTGTAAAACTAGAAACATATACAAAGCGTTAATGAGTAAAGCTGGATTATCGTTCGAGAAACAACTGATTTGAGGTTCTAAAATTAGTCCCAAAAGTTGTGCTCGTATACAGAGACAAACTCAGAAAAGTGACGGAATTCTGCCACTTCTGTTATGGGAAGATCCACTGACATAGTCATGTAATGGTGTTGCCAAAGGTGGAACCTTGTCAAAATAAGTAAAGCATTTCCTCCCAATGATAGTAAGAGATTAATTACTAACCTGAACAGTGGCGTTTTGTGGATGGAAAAGAGAGTTATCCTTGGACAACTATCTCATAAACAGATAAGTCCTGTGGTCTCGATAATATCTATCTTTAAATCATGGGAGCTCTGCAGTAATATGGTTTCTGATGTATTAGCAAGGCTGATCTGATTGTTTATGAAGTAGTTAAATTGTCGAAACTGGAAGAATGCAATAATTATTTCGGCCTATAAGGCTGGAAATAAACATTTGATTACTAGCTATTGCTCGATAACCTCAATTAAAAACATAGTAAAATTGATTATTCAGCCTGATGTTCTACGTCATGCAGATGGGAATAATCGTTTAACGAAGAAATAACATGGTTTTGGAGCAGATCTTTCATGTTTGGCTAATGCCGTTATTGGAAGAAAAAGTGAACCGCAGCAAAATTCTGTAGCATCTAAGTAGATGTAGTTTTCATAGGCTGGAGGATTTCAGAATCAGTTATGAAGTTAGAGATTGGATAATTGACTTCCTCAGTAATAAGAAACAACAAGTAAAGGTAAACAGTATTCTATCATCATGGAAATATATGGACAGTGGGGTTCGGAGTAAGTTTTAGCAAGAGTGTGGTAATACAAGTCAGTCCGCGAGAATTTACATGACTTCACAGTAAATTAGATTGCTTTATTTGAAGTTATTGGTCATGATGATTTAAGAGTCATAGTAATGACCGTAGATTTCCCGGTAATTATGAGGTGGCCTCCTCCAAAGGCTTACCAGTCTTGAGTCATTTTGCAATTCAAATGAAGTGTTCAGAATATTATATTTGGCGTATGTGGGACCGCATCTAGAACATGCCATTCACGAAACAAAATCTTGTTTCATATACAAACTAGATATAATTGAAAGGGTTCAACAATTTGAAACATAAATCTGGAAAGGTTATTCTAGCCTGCCTTATAAAGGTTAACTGAAATGCTCTATCCTAGTTCCGTTTCCCGTGCACTAAATGATGATTTTTGTATCAATGTCTTATCTTTTTATCAAACACAGGACTGATCATCTGAGAGCATATTTTCAGAAGGGTCAAAAAGCGAGATCAAACCGGTTACATCTGGAATTCCGTTTCGTTCACTGAGTTGTAAATTGCTGTAATTGTCTACCCGAATACGTAGTATCAGCATCTGTTCATACGTCTAAAGAGATTGCGTCTTCACAGTACTGGAAGTCACGAGGATTAACCTCCTGTCCCTAACTTTGAAGACATTCATTTATACTTTGGAACAGTTTTGAAGCACCGGTGGTTTAACTTATGGTGTAAATCAAGTGCTTTTTGTACAGGTAATATTTGACTCCAGGTCTTGCAATTTATTGATACATACAATAGCTATTTTTTTATGACTTAGTGATTTCCCCTGGGGAGCCTATCAGTTTTCAGAATGTTTAACCAACGTGTGACAAAACAATTTGTCCTGTTATTTAAGTGTTTATTATTGTTTTATTGCCCATCGGATGATGGAATGGCGACTAGGCTCGCCAAGGAACAGATATTTTTCTTACTTAAATCCCTTCGTTTTCTACATCGTTTTAATTTTACCCACCTACGTTAGGTTGGTTACTTAACTCCCCTCAAAATAATAAAAAGTTGCTCGACCCCCGATTTTCTCGTGCGAAGTCTGTAGCTCAATTATCACTGCCCTGAAAGGCTGACACTAAGTTCTGTCTGTTTTGGTTACTTTCTCACAAAATTATCTTCGTACGTTCTCCACTGCCTTTTAGATAATTTCATTGTATCTTGCTTAAATTCGTTATAATTTAAAATCAACCTTAATAGTGGTAATTTTACAGCTTTATACAAAAAATATTCTCATCAAAATATCGTCTGTGTTTGTGAACATTCTTGTATTAAAATTGGTTGTTATTGCTTGTTGTAGGTATTTAGGGACTAAAGACAATCAACCAAAGATTTTTGGTGCTATTTGTGTTATGAATGTTTTGACTATTGTGTTTTTTAAATGCTCATTACACTGCTTATTGCTAACAGATTCGGTATATTTCTGTGTGAGTGTTGTTTGGTATTTGTGGTCCCTCATTTTTGTAAATTGTATTACTTGGTTTTCAATAGGGGTTATTTATACTCTAATCTGTTTTTATAGTTATGAAACCAACATGAGGCCCGATTTGCTGATGTTGCTAGTCCTAAGCCTGAGTAAAGATGGTAGGTTGGGGTATTATGTCTTACAACTCGACCTCTTAAGAAAGAACTTTGCTGCAAAGTCACTATGTAGAAAAAATATTAAGACCGGACTTCGGATACCCTATGTGTTGCCAAATTAGCCATTGGGCTGAAATTGGGATTCATTAGAACCGGAATTCGGACGCTCAATTTAACACAGCTGTTATGGAGAAGGATTTTACTGGTTTGATAGACGATCTTTTGTTTATCAAAGTCATTGATCCGAATCTTGATCAATAAATGAAATGCAGTGATACAAAGTATGGTCGATTGGTGGTTATTCACGAGACCACATTATTGGCTTAAGCTTTTGTATAATTTGAAATAAAAAAAGCATGACCATTAGCCAGAAAAATAGATTTTTAATATAATAAAATGACATGCTTATGTACAACATAATCACACAAACAAAAGTGTTATCATAGGTGGTTGGAAAAATCAGTTTATAAATCACTAATTTTGCAACCAATTAAGACCTGATTGTTAGGCCTAATTCTTGCCCGTCACGTCAACAGTTGACTAGCTTAGTAAACTAGTTTAACCCATTATATATAGTATGTTATGATGTGGTGTTTCCCATTTTTAAATGTCACCGTCTTTTTTGATTAATAAGTGTTTTCCGGCTTTTAGGATGAAAATCTACTTGGCTTTCTTACTCATTGGATTTGGGGCGTTACTCTGTCACAGTGAAGCAATAATTAAACAACATTTACCAGCTGAACTTTTGTGTTCAGACATAAATTGTTTGAAAACCATAACTACTGGAAGTCTTATCAAAGATGTTAATGTACCGAATAAGAAAATATTAAAAGTGAATACCTTAGTGGACATAATAGGATTAAGCGCTGATGCTACTAATTCTATGATGAAAATAAAATTCGGCGAAGAACATTTATACATCGACCCAAGTTTTGTACAAATTAAGGATTCTGTTAGTTCACGCAAATTTTTAAAGGTGAAAAACTTCGATATAAATTTGAATCCTTCGACTCTATTAGATGAAAGAACACTTAATCTAGTGTCACCTTACCAACTACCATCGGATGAAGATTTGAATTACAAATCTACAGAGAAAATATCTGAGAAAGATCATCCAGATAACAAGCAAACACTTTTCCGCAATCAAAGACAGAGTAATGCTTATGATACTAGAGAAAGGACGAATGAAATTGATGAAATGGACGTGGTTAGTAGCAAAAGTTATGATCAAGTGAGCAAACAAGAAACTACATACCAGATAGATTCTGATGAAGTGGAACAAGATGACAAAATTGAGAAAGATAATGACGACAGTGAGTTTGACTATAATAATTCATCCGAAATAAAACATGGTGACACGGATACCACTGACTATCCATCCGAATCACCCGGTGAACCGGCTTCTGTGAATCAACAACTGCCATCTGTTCAGTCACATCACGTTGAAATGAAGGTGTCTGGAACCAAACATGTGGAAACCCATGTACCGATACGACCACCGACTGTCTCACCTGATACTGATAAGGAATCGAAGGAGGATGTTTCGAGTAGATCTGAACAGGGTGAACCTGTTTCCGTGAATCAACAACCGCCATCTGTTCAGTCACATCACGTTGAAATGAAGGTGTCTGGAACCGAACATGTGGAAACCCATGTACCGATACGACCACCGACTGTCTCACCTGATACTGATAAGGAATCGAAGGAGGATGTTTCGAGTAGATCTGAACAGAGTGAACCTGTTTCTGTGAATCAACAACCGCCATCTGTTCAGTCACATCACGTTGAAATGAAGGTGTCTGGAACCAAACATGTGGAAACCCATGTACCGATACGACCACCGACTGTCTCACCTGATACTGATAAGGAATCGAAGGAGGATGTTTCGAGTAGATCTGAACAGGGTGAACCTGTTTCTGTGAATCAACAACCGCCATCTGTTCAGTCACATCACGTTGAAATGAAGGTGTCTGGAACCGAACATGTGGAAACCCATGTACCGATACGACCACCGACTGTCTCACCTGATACTGATAAGGAATCGAAGGAGGATGTTTCGAGTAGATCTGAACAGAGTGAACCTGTTTCTGTGAATCAACAACCGCCATCTGTTCAGTCACATCACGTTGAAATGAAGGTGTCTGGAACCAAACATGTGGAAACCCATGTACCGATACGACCACCGACTGTCTCACCTGATACTGATAAGGAATCGAAGGAGGATGTTTCGAGTAGATCTGAACAGGGTGAACCTGTTTCTGTGAATCAACAATCGCCATCTGTTCAGTCACATCACGTTGAAATGAAGGTGTCTGGAACCGAACATGTGGAAACCCATGTACCGATACGACCACCGACTGTCTCACCTGATACTGATAAGGAATCGAAGGAGGATGTTTCGAGTAGATCTGAACAGGGTGAACCTGTTTCCGTGAATCAACAACCGCCATCTGTTCAGTCACATCACGTTGAAATGAAGGTGTCTGGAACCGAACATGTGGAAACCCATGTACCGATACGACCACCGACTGTCTCACCTGATACTGATAAGGAATCGAAGGAGGATGTTTCGAGTAGATCTGAACAGAGTGAACCTGTTTCTGTGAATCAACAACCGCCATCTGTTCAGTCACATCACGTTGAAATGAAGGTGTCTGGAACCGAACATGTGGAAACCCATGTACCGATACGACCACCGACTGTCTCACCTGATACTGATAAGGAATCGAAGGAGGATGTTTCGAGTAGATCTGAACAGGGTGAACCTGTTTCTGTGAATCAACAACCGCCATCTGTTCAGTCACATCACGTTGAAATGAAGGTGTCTGGAACCGAACATGTGGAAACCCATGTACCGATACGACCACCGACTGTCTCACCTGATACTGATAAGGAATCGAAGGAGGATGTTTCGAGTAGATCTGAACAGAGTGAACCTGTTTCTGTGAATCAACAACCGCCATCTGTTCAGTCACATCACGTTGAAATGAAGGTGTCTGGAACCAAACATGTGGAAACCCATGTACCGATACGACCACCGACTGTCTCACCTGATACTGATAAGGAATCGAAGGAGGATGTTTCGAGTAGATCTGAACAGGGTGAACCTGTTTCTGTGAATCAACAATCGCCATCTGTTCAGTCACATCACGTTGAAATGAAGGTGTCTGGAACCGAACATGTGGAAACCCATGTACCGATACGACCACCGACTGTCTCACCTGATACTGATAAGGAATCGAAGGAGGATGTTTCGAGTAGATCTGAACAGGGTGAACCTGTTTCCGTGAATCAACAACCGCCATCTGTTCAGTCACATCACGTTGAAATGAAGGTGTCTGGAACCGAACATGTGGAAACCCATGTACCGATACGACCACCGACTGTCTCACCTGATACTGATAAGGAATCGAAGGAGGATGTTTCGAGTAGATCTGAACAGGGTGAACCTGTTTCTGTGAATCAACAACCGCCATCTGTTCAGTCACATCACGTTGAAATGAAGGTGTCTGGAACCGAACATGTGGAAACCCATGTACCGATACGACCACCGACTGTCTCACCTGATACTGATAAGGAATCGAAGGAGGATGTTTCGAGTAGATCTGAACAGAGTGAACCTGTTTCTGTGAGTCAACAACCGCCATCTGTTCAGTCACATCACGTTGAAATGAAGGTGTCTGGAACCAAACATGTGGAAACCCATGTACCGATACGACCACCGACTGTCTCACCTGATACTGATAAGGAATCGAAGGAGGATGTTTCGAGTAGATCTGAACAGGGTGAACCTGTTTCTGTGAATCAACAATCGCCATCTGTTCAGTCACATCACGTTGAAATGAAGGTGTCTGGAACCGAACATGTGGAAACCCATGTACCGATACGACCACCGACTGTCTCACCTGATACTGATAAGGAATCGAAGGAGGATGTTTCGAGTAGATCTGAACAGGGTGAACCTGTTTCCGTGAATCAACAACCGCCATCTGTTCAGTCACATCACGTTGAAATGAAGGTGTCTGGAACCGAACATGTGGAAACCCATGTACCGATACGACCACCGACTGTCTCACCTGATACTGATAAGGAATCGAAGGAGGATGTTTCGAGTAGATCTGAACAGGGTGAACCTGTTTCTGTGAATCAACAACCGCCATCTGTTCAGTCACATCACGTTGAAATGAAGGTGTCTGGAACCGAACATGTGGAAACCCATGTACCGATACGACCACCGACTGTCTCACCTGATACTGATAAGGAATCGAAGGAGGATGTTTCGAGTAGATCTGAACAGGGTGAACCTGTTTCTGTGAATCAACAACCGCCATCTGTTCAGTCACATCACGTTGAAATGAAGGTGTCTGGAACCGAACATGTGGAAACCCATGTACCGATACGACCACCGACTGTCTCACCTGATACTGATAAGGAGTCAAATGTGGATGTTTCACAAGTTTCATATTCCACCTCGTCAAGCGACATTTTGGACAATGATAGTCATATAGAATCTAATATGTCAACTTCACATTTTTCATTGCATGATCGTAAACAAGGAGTCATCACCAGTGATCTCATCGGTGTTCAAGATATTGGAATAATTTATTCCTCAGATGTAAATAGCTCTATTCTTTCATCCGTTTCACGAAAAGTGTCTGAGGATCAAATTATTTTCAATCATCACAGTGTTCCCGTTCACTTAGGTTTGATACAATGTATATACTGGGCAGCAAACGCTAGCTTTGATAAAACGTATTCTAAAAATGTTAGATCACCTTTTTCGCGCTTCTTAGTCAATGGATTTAGGTACTTCTTTGCAGCTGCTAACGTTTCTCTGCAGTATTTACCAGAAAACATTATTTCCAATTTAGATAATTTTTTGCTTGAAACATTTTCTTTATCAGTAAATTTCATTATTGCTTGGATGATTTTTATATTTCACTTAATTTTTATGTGGAATCTAAGTAAGGGCGTACATTTCCTTCTATCTAAATACATTTTTTCTGAAAAATGCACATCTCCATCTCTCGTAGAATATCTAAAACTTGAGGAGTATAGCATTCAACTAGCTAGCCAACTTTCAGATATGGAAGAATCTAATTCTCATTTATCTAAATGGGCTAATTCACTTTCATGCACTCTTCAAAATCTACAGGAAGAATATACTTCCAAATTATCTGAAATGACATTATCTGTGGATGATTCTCGGGAATCTTTCATACGTGCTCAATCGGAGTTGAATCATTTAAAAAATACTCATAATTCACTGGAACAAAACTTACGTTTGAAGTTAACTGATAAAGAAGAAGTCATTCATGAATTAAATTCAGAAATTAATCGTCTGAAACAATTACACTCTGAAAATGATGATAAATGGAAGAAAAGTCTTTTAGATCTAGAAGAAAGTAACCGTAAGTCAATAGAAGAATTGAAAGAGGAACAAGAACAGTTATATTCTCAAGCTAATTTATATTATAATCGCATGAAGACGATGCAATCAGAGGTCGACAAAATTTTAGAATCTAGAAAAGCATCTGAGGAAAAGTTACTGATTAAAGAAGCAGAATTTCAAAGTTTGCTTGCTACTTTTAATACGCTTAAAGGTCTTGAGGTGATTTTTGAACAGGAATCTTCCTCAAAACAGGAAACAAATGATATGGAAGAACGTGAAGTAACCACCACTGACAACCTATCTAATGTTAGTCGCACGTTAGAGGATGACGTGGAGATTAGCGATAAGTCAAGCATTATTTCCGAAAGTGCTTTGTGTGATTTAATTGAAGTCGATGAAAAGACTACAGAAAAATCTAGATTACAGAAGAATTTATCATTGCTCTTAGATGTTGGTCGTTTGCATGCTCAAATCAGACTTAAAGATGAACAAATTAAAGCTGAAGAGTCTAAAGCAAAAAATGAACATGATCTTCGAGTTGAAGTTGAATCCAAAATGGAAGAGATAGAAAGAGAGAATTCAACTCTTAAAGCTAATTTAATTCATATTGAACAAGAAAGAAATGCTTATCAAACAAAGCTTGATATTTTATCCTGTTATTTTAAAGAACGTGAACTTGAACTGCAAAGGGATTTAGGTAAGCATGTCGTAGTTGGTTCAGAATCTTCCGAAGCCCTTGTGCACAGTCGAAAGCGTAATCAAGAGCTTGAGGGGGAAGTTAAAGTATTACGAGATCAAATGGCAGCTTTACGTCGAGAGCTAGTGGAAACTGAAAGAACTAGTAGGCGTCAAATATCGGAGTTAGATAAACGTTCTCATGAAAATTGGTTAGCAGCTCGTGCGTCTGACCACCAAATTCAAGATCTACGTGAAGAAAACTTCAGTTTGCGACAAAAGCTCATTGAATCAGAGAACAATGCATTACGATCGTCAATGCGCACCATCCCGGAAAAAATAAATAGTTCATCTCGTGAGAAAATTATGAACATTTTCACAAGACCTATTTTACCACTAGAATTTATGAAAAATCCAAGTTTAAGAGATGTACGCTCTCAATCAAAAAATTCTCTAACAAATTTAACATCCCAACGGCCAGTAGCAGAAGCTAATCCATTCCCATTCATCCCAACACCACCCCGAGGAACAATGCCTTTTTCAGGTGGACTTCAAAGAGATGTCATACCAACACCAACAAGGCCTCTTTTGCCAGGATTTCCTCCAGTGCAAATGAGTTTCCCGTCAGCATTTTTAGCTCCCCCATTCGCGCCCGTCACGAAAGCGATGACTGACCAAAATAATAAACAAAATAGTTCCCCTTCTTCTGTAAGCAGTTCACTAAAGTAATTTTAGATCTATAACGCTTTGTTTAGTATGTGGTTTTTCTTGCATTTTAATCTTCCGTTCTCTACGTTCCGATTGTTTCGTTGTGGTATTATTATTTAGGTTATTTTGAATCAGGCTGTAAAGTGATAATATTTTTACATTTGGTCTTTTGATAATAAGTATGTCCAGATATTATATTTCAGATTACATATATCAAGAATAATATTTTAAACATTAGTTGGTTATTGCACAAAAAAATCTTTTATTCTGTGTTCGTACTTACGAAAATGTTTCTGTTTGTTATTTATTGCTCCGATATTACTTTATGTGTTTATAATGAACCATTTTTGTTTTTGATGAATAATGGTTCTTGAGTCATTCGCTTTATTAAAGAAAATGTTCTAAATTAGTGAAAAGTATGTATTTTTGTCATTTCATTATCTATTGTCTACCAACTGTCCTAAAGTAATATTACTGAATTGTTTGAGTTCATTGAAGATAATTATTTGGTTTATATCTCAGTCATTAGTTTTAAATGTAATCTGGAATTTCCAAAGAAGATAGCTAATTACAGCGCTTAGCGATATTAGTTCACAATCTGGAAAAAATACCAGCCTTTTTTTCGAAATTTGACATTCTTGTCAAATACTAAGGAAATGAAAACTTTAATTATGTGTTGCTCATGGAAAGTTGTCTTTAATACTCCAACCTGATACTCATTTAAACAATTAGTCGTGATAGCATGAACATGGCATTGACTCTATCTCTAATGTAGGAATTAAGGTAGTAAGTTTTCAAACCTTTCGTCTTACAGCTCCCGTTAATCTTATCAAATTCTTAAAATGGTAGGCAGATGTGTCACTCGTTTAATTGTCATTGTACTTATAGTTGTTTCGACTAGCAATGAGAAATTTTACTGTCAATTTCATTTTATTTTAGCTGGCTTAACTTGTATTTTTTAGCTCATAAGAATTTAGCTCGATGCTTAGTGTACGGAGCTGAACGCTTGATTGCTAAGCCACACAGAAGTTTACTCGCTCCTTGAATAACTTTGTTTTCATTTCGTCTTATCCCTTTCTAATATGTACAACTCGTGGACAATAGTCATTTCTTATGTTTGCAAAAATCTGTAACCTAATGTTTTCGGAAGGAATCTAATCTTTGATTTAAAGTCCTTGCCATAAAGTGTGATTGTGCTACAATTTAGCAAATATTTTGATGTATTTCAGACGATGTAAGAATAACGTCATTGTTTTGTTTTTTTAGTTAAGTCTTCATGAAGGATTCCTTTATGTATTGAATTTATCCAACATCAAGTTGCACCTTTTACTTTGTCCTGAAATTAGATGATGAAAACTAATAATTATACTCTGCTTTATTTAGATTGCATGATGCGATTCACTACAGAAAGTGAATTTAAATTCTGCAAATAAGGCATTAACCTGATTAACTGTGGTTTGCACTAGTCTTTTAGTGATAACTTTTGTAAAGCATCGAGAGAAAGGCAAACATTATTGAGAGGGATCATATAAATGCAGAACAAACTGATGAATCCGTTCTTAAGTATTTTTGTGATTGTACAGAGATACTGATTAGTAGTAGGACAGTGGTGATTGGTAACTTTTACTTAGCTATATAGCCTCACTGCTTGTTCCAAAATATATTTTCATCTCTATCCATCGTCTATGTACTTTATCAAAGTTTTGTGTCAGAAATCCCTAAGAAAACTGGACTTACAATCAGATGATAATTTATACTTCCTTGTAATGCTCATTGATCTTTTAACTGTTGCTCGTGTATTTTTGGGCCATCAAGCGAGTCATGCCGAATTCAAGCATAGGGTACAAGTTAAAGATGTCAAATAGGTTGACGAAGTAGTGGTACGTACCCCCAATCACCACCTACCTTAGTTCACGATGTTTACTGGGAAAGTAGTCTGGAAGAAATCTGCCGACAGCCAAATCAGGAAGTGGCACCAATCTGTGAAGTTACTGTCAGTCTAACTGAGCAATTATGGTATTCATTACAGTCGTGTTGAATTTGCATAAGTGGATACGCATTCCAGAATACATGGCCTGATAACATGTAACTCAAATGCACTACTTCTATTTCATTGGTTAATTTGTGCTATTAATATATATATCCTATTGCATACCTCGGTTGTTCGTCTATCTATCTGTTAATCGTATTTCATGATAATGCTGACCTGTAAATATTTGACACACATTGACTAAAGTATACTGGACATTTTGGACTCATTTAAGTACTATACAGATTAGACCTGTCTAATCCAATCCCCGATATATTTGATCATGATACAATTAATGCCGATTCTACTTTCATTGTTGTTATAAATTCAATTACCTTACCGTTATAACTTGTCGTTTGAATGCTTATTGTTGTGGCTCTTTTAATGCTACTTTTTGTATCTGGTCGTCGCTGATTGTTATGTCCGAAACGCTTATCACTTATACTCGGAACGAGGGACCTCTGCAATTCCCACGACGCGAAATTGAGAACACAAAGACTGGTATAAGTGATAATTTATTAAACCCAAAATATGACGACGACGACAACTCTAGTAGAAAATACACCCATCTATATATTGATTGTACACCCATTTTGATTAATAATTAGGATGAAATCACATATATTAAAATAACTTAGATTTATAACAAATCACATGCTGAGCATAGTGCATGTCAATGGAATACAAGAATATCGTATATTATACAGAATAAAATATCATACGAGAAAAGGAAACAAATACTACATTGAGTAATCATTACATTGAACCAAAACGGAAGTAATGTTGAACAAAACTCATAATGTGTAAATCAGTTGAAAACTGACTTTTCTTTCCATCATATCACCTACAAGGATGTCTAGTATTGGTGTTAATCCAGCACTATTATTTCAGGCCAGTCGTTTCCATTCAGTCCTATTACACTTCATTGTTTGTTATTACTGTGCATGTTAGTTAATTCAGTAACTTCCTGGATTTATTCAACTTTGACCATCGAGTTAAATATAAAGACCATAAGAGAGATGTGGTTAGGTGTAGACTATGTATTGATTGTTTGCGTGACTATAATAATCAGTGATTGTAGACGACTGATGTGGCTCAAAATCATATTGTATTGTAGTGACTACATAAAGCTCGCGTAAATGTATCCGAACTTTTCGGTAGATATTAAAAATTCAGACACAAAGTATTTACTATTTTACCTCTTGTTTGTGTCCTTGTCAAATATATTTATGCACACTTGACTTGAGCATATGTCTGTACAGTTATCAGTAATTCATCGTCTTACTGATTCATAGTCTTTTTAGGTTTATATAAACGCTTATAAAAAGTTATATTTTTGATAGAGAGGAAGCGTCTCTCCGCTTCGTATCTGTTCACTTTACACTCATAGTTTGTTTGCTCAATAATAAATAATTGAAATATATTCTTCCCAAATACATTCCGGATTAACACGTTTTATTTCGTTAACAATTGTGTTATTTAGTTAGGTTGTGTGAGGGAAGTTAGTTAATGAATTATATTTCATCATCGTCATCAACTGTGTAGCGAATTCAATCAACCAAACTCAAAATTATTGTATTTATTACCAGAATTTAATTATGTAATCCTTTATTAATACGTTCCATTCGCTAGTCTGTCACGAGAGATTGAGGTGAATAATAAAAGATTCAAGAATTTGGATAAGATATTTGGAGAGAACGTATTTGAAGTCATTTTAATTTGCTCACATCAGATGAGTTTTGAGTGGGCTCCGAAGAATCCTTCAATAATTATATTCTGTGAGGCACTTACGACGTACGGTTGTTAAACGAGCCGTTTCTAACTTAGTATTTAATTTGAAGTTAACTAAATGACAGTTTATCTAGAGAATTCGATTTCTGAATCCTTGAAGCTACTCGTTTTTGTGTAATACCCCCGTAAGAGTATTCAAAGAGCAACATTCTAGTTGTTCTTAAGCTGTCATGAATTTTATCTCAGGAATTAATTGCATATGTGTATGGTGTTCTTGTGTGTTACGCTAGATCTGTTAGTGATTGATATCAGTAATTTTTTTATTTAGTGGTGTTGAGGCGGAAACTACGCCTGAAGTCCCTCCAGAGACTACTGCCGGTCATTGTGGAACAATCAATTGAATGGAATTCATCACTCTACATCAACTTCATTGGCTACGAAAAGGCATTTGATAGCGTGGACAGAACAAAACTATGAAAACTTCTTCGACACTGCGGCGTGCCTCAGAAGATAGTCAATATCATACAGAGTTCATATGATGGATTACACTGCAAAATCGTGCATGGAGGATAGTTGACAAAGTCGTTCGAAGTGAAGACCGGTGTTAGGCAAGGTTGCTTACTCTCACCCTTTCTCTTTCTCCTGGTGATCGACTGGATCATGAAGACGTCAACATATGAAGGGAAGCACGGGACACAATGGACATCTAGGATGCAGTTGGACGATCTAGACTTCGCAGATGATCTGGCCCTTCTTTCCCAAACGCAACAACAAATGCAGGAGAAGACGAACAGTGTAGCAGCAGCAATAGGTCTCAATATACACAAAGGGAAAAGCAAGGTTCTCCGATACAACATAGCTTGCACCAATACAGTCACAATTGAGGGAGAAGATTTGGAAGATGTAAAAATCTTTACATATCTGGGCAGCACATTGATGAACACGATGGATCTGATGCAGATGTGAAGGCGCGGATCGGAAAAACGAGAGCAGCATATTTACAACTGAAGAACATCTGGAACTCAAAACCACTGTCAGCCAACACCAAGGTCAGGATTTTCAATACAAATGTCAAGACAGTTCTACTGTATGGGGAGGAAACCTGGAGAACTACGAAAGCCATCATCCAGAAGATACAGGTGTTTATTAACAGTTGTCTACGCAAGATACTTCAGATCCGTTGGCCGGACACTATTGGCAACAATTTACTGTGGGAGAGAACAAACCAGATCCCAGCGGAGGAAGAAATCAGGAAGAAGCGCTGGGAGTGGATAGGACACACATTGAGGAAAGCACCCAACTGCGTCACAAGACAAGCCCTCACATGGAATCCACAAGGCCAAAGGAAAAGAGGAAGATGAAAGAACACATTACGCCGAGAAATGGAGATAGACATGAGAAAAATGAACAAGAATCGGATGGAACTAGAAAAGAAGGCTCAGGACAGAGTGGGTTGGAGAATGCTGGTCGGCGGCCTATGCTCCATTGGGAGTAACAGGCGTAAGTAAGTTGAGGAGGAGCTATTTTTTCAAGGAGAGAAAGCATTGGTTGTTCATTAACCTTAGGTCATTCTAAAATCAAATTTCTTTAGTTTACTTATTGTCAGTCTCGCAACTGACTTGTTTAAATGCGAAATTATAACGAATTTCCCATTGTTTTTTTAAAGTAATTTGATATTAGGTGTATTTTAATTTATGTGAATTAGTTTTTGATGTGATATATAATTTTTTTAATAGTCTTTGATTAACCTCATAAAAGATCG